TGTGTGTGTGTGTGTGTGTGTGTGTGTGTGTGTGTGTGTGTGTGTGTGTTTTTCCTATTTCAGTGGAAGCCCATTTCAAACATAAACCTTAAAGAGAGATTGACTTTGAGGGATCCAAGGACACAAGATTCTGTTTACAGAACGACCTGGTTTTATTTGACATGTAAAAAGCAAAGAGGAAAAAAAAAAAGACAAGCATCCACCTAATCATGTTGGCTGCCAACATGGGAGTGGGTTGGTGGTGAAGGCAGAGGCCAGAAGACTGACAAAAGAAAATGGAGCAACCTCTTCTCCCTGGAATATCTGCCCTGTTGCCATGGGGCCTGATTTTTTGCGAGCATCTGCTGTTTGCAGTGGCTACGTTTTCACTCACAACCATTGTGTATGCCTCACTACATTAGAAAAGGGGGCCTGGCTGGTGGCTGCACTGCCCTGCATCCACTTTGGGGAGGGGAGTAGGAATCTGAACTCAAGTCCTGGAGCTGCCCCTGGGTCTTGGTGCCCAGTTGTGGTCCCAAGTTCCACCTCTGCCATTGGACCCAAGTTTCACTTCATGGCAGTGGCTCTGAAGGGGTTTGGGATGAAGGGTCTGTTTACTGGAAACCTAGTTAAGTGGGAGCTCAGACCTAATGCTGCTTTCTGGGTGGAGAGGCAAGGGAGGCTGGGGGATTGAGCCTTGGGGTTGGCCATGATCCTTGGGAAGCCCCTCCTCTCCATCAGCAAAAGGCAGCCTGCTTGCTTCCTATTTGGGGCTATGTGAATGCCCTCCAAGATCAGATTTATTTTAGCACAGCCCCAGAGTGAATTCTAGAAATGAATCTTGCTTGTGTCCTAGTCGTGGTGAATGATGGGAACATTTATGTGCCAAGAAGTGGAAATAGGCATGGAAGCTGTCCTGCCCCAGGAAAAGGTCTAGGGGTACCTGGGGAGCCCAGGCTGGTTTTCAAGAGGTACATTCCAAGGTTGTGTAAGAACTAATAGGAGAGAAGCTGTGAGCAAGATAGGAGTTTGGTGTAAAATGGGCATCTAAGATACCACCTCTTTTGTCAGTCTGCAGCCAAGAAGTAGAAGTCTAAAAGAAAAAAAAACAATATTGTTAAGGTGTTTGTGTGCCTTTTCATCATGCACACAGACACCTGTGCTGGCTATACCTGTGCAGTTAGTTACCTTTGTTCTCACATGCCCTTTCATCTCTACCTGTCAAAAAAAACAAAAGAAAGAAAAGGAAAGAGAACCTGGCAGGAGAGGTGATGCTGGAATCTCCAGGCTACACCTCCTGCTGTATTTGCATGTGTCTGTGGTCAGGTCAGCACCTCATGCACCAAGAAAGAGAATCTGTAAGAAAAGGGGCATTTAGGAGACCATCGGGCAGCTTTCTCCCTCCCTGAAGCCAGCCTTAAATCCCTGTGTTTGTGGATTTTCAGCACCCTCCATAGGTATGATATGGGCATCGATGAAGACGGAAACTTCCAAGATGAGAAGTCCTCAAAGCTCAGACTAGATTGGGCTACTCCTCTGGGTGGGCAGTGCCCTGGCTTGCCTCTTCACCCATCCTCACCTGACCAATAATCAATAATTGTTCTACACCTCTCATGGGATTATTTGGTGCTTTGGGGATAGTCATCATTCTGCTGCTCTATTTGGAAAAAGGTGGTTGAAAGTGGGACAGGATTTGGGACCTCAGGAAGGACTATGTGTAGACAGTGGACCCAGAATCAGTGAATCTTCTATTTTTGCTCAGTTACTGTGGATGTGCCAATGGACACAGAGAGATGACATGATTCACCCAGAGGCTTCATTGAATTTCACAGAACTGGTTTTTGACTTTCATACATGTATTCATTCCTATAACTTAATCTCACTGTTCTCTAGGGGTGAATTTCCTTCTTCTCCCAAGTACTCCATTTCCTACTATCTGAATTCATAAGCTTCTAGTTTCTCAGCAAAACCTCATCCCCTAAGCCCCAGTTAAGCCAGGGATCTGTCTGACAACAGCAAAGCTCTCTTCTCTTCCCCAGCTCTTCTTGGTCCCAGCTCGGTATAGACCCAGTTAACTCAGAGTTCCATGGGCCTCCCTGACTTGCCTCCACCTCTCTGATTTGTCTCCTGACCACAGAGCCCATCCCAGGGAAAGGGGAGAAGTCATTTAGCCAAATCAGTCAAAAATGACTTGCAGTGATTGGTATACCCTTCTCTTAGTAACCCTAGCCCTGGCCTCCTTTATCTGTGGTGCCCCAGTGACAGGCACATGTTCCGATCTGAATTGCAGAGCTGAGCTCAAGGGAAAAGATGTTGTGCTTTCCAGACTATGGAAGTACCCACAGTTGTCTTTGCTATCCTTGACTTGCTCCAGCATTTAGCACAGTGCCTGGCACATAGTAGGCGCTTAATAAATGTTTATTGATTGATTCCTTGATTTAACTAGACCCAGCTGTTAATTTTATCAGTTGTGGCAAACCCATCTGCCCTCTACCATGTTTTACATAGATGGTACCATCCGAACAGACTACAGTTCCCAGCATGTTGTGCGCCCATCTTGTTTTGGCTACCAGACCCTTGTGTCTTTTACTATAACTAGCTATGACTCCTTTTGGCAAAGGGAGGGGGCTTCTTCATAAGTTGCCTCTGTACTCCTATTGAATAGAGCAGAATTTTTCCTTTTTTCTGCTGACTAATGGAACTCATTTATCCAGCTGGCCAACAGCTGGCTTTGAGTTGATCTTTGCTTCTGGAGAATGGAGTTTGGATGGGACTGAGCGAAAGGAAGTGTGAAACCAGATCATTGGGGCAACTTAAAGCCTCTTCCCTTCTTGAACTCTACAATGAAAAGCCAGCTGGTCCTTAGTAGGCAGCTCGCCTTCATTCAAGAAATATTTATTGAGGGCCTACTAGGTATGTGGGCTCAGTGCTAAAGAAAGGATCCCGAGTAGCTGTGGGTGCTATCTCCTGGTAGACTTTTGACTATTTTTGTTTTTTAAACACTTCAGTCAGGGCAAACCCAAGGTCCACTCAGAAGAACTGAGTGATTATGGGGATGATTTGAGGGGTAGCCAGCTGGCCTAGGCTTGCCTCTCTGCCCTTTTGGGAAAGAGGCACATATACTTTGCCATGCAGTTTAACCTAGAGTCCGAGGTCAGTAACTTTTATTTCTGGCAGGCCAGTAGTGACAAGTGTTGATTTTATTTATTTTATTCTGTGTATATTTTAGACTGTGGAGCATGAGGAGAGGATGAACTTGTAAAATACATCATGTACATGTGTAGAAACACAAGCACCTTGCTATGATCTTGTCCTCAAATTCCATACCTTCTAGTTGTGATTGCCTTATAACAAGGTCCTCTTGGTACTTTTGTAACTAAAGCTCTGTGGATGGGGCTCCAAATGGATTGGTGAAGAGTGCATTGGACTCAGGAGTCAGAAGACCTGGGTTCTAGTCCCAGGTCAACTGCTGTGAAACCTCAGGCAAAGTCAGTTCATCTCTCTGGGCCTCAGTTTCCCCTTTTACAAAATGAGGAGGTTGGACTGATCTATAAGGTCTCATCCCACCTCTAACAAGCTAAGATACTGTTTTGAGGCCCCAGTGTGGGAAGGGCAGGGTGTATGTACATACGTGCATTAGGTGCTGGTCACTGGCACTGATCAGCAAGGCTGGTTTAACCCTTGCTGCTGCTAAATTTGTCAGAAAACCAAACTGACTCAGTATTATGGGGGAAACTTTGCTCCCGACTCCACCTAGCAGTGTGACCTTGATCAGAATGACAGGCCTTGGACTGACTTTCCCAGCCTCGCCACCCCCTCAGCTGCCAATCTGAGGCCCACAAAACTGATCCTGTCTTTTGCTTGTCCTCCACAACTGGCCATTTCACTTTTGTACCTTCGTGCCCAACCTGCAACACCAGCTGCTTGAAGGGGGCATGCCAGTCTCTGATGGAGACAATCAGCTGTTCTTTGGCGGGAGCCATCTTAGAGTGGTCAGTTGTGGATAGGACTCCTGAGATGCTGAGGGTGAGAGGAGTGGATGGGCCTTGTACAGAGCATGTTGGAATTTTTATCTCTTAAAAAAAAAAAAGCAAATAAATGAGACCTGTCAGTTTAATTTGGGGAGTGGGGAGGGAAACAAGATACTTTCCATGTGAAATATATTTCTTGGGTTAATGTTTGTAATCAAGAAAGCATCTATTAAGCACTTACATGCCAGGCACAGTGCTAGGCACTGGGGTTCAAATATAAAAAACAGGACAGTCCCAGTGTCCAAGAAGTTTATGTTCTACTTGGGGGAAGGGGGCGGGGTTGGTTGGCAGTTAACATTTCTAGAAGAGCAGTAGGCAGGGAAGGAAGTTTAAGTGAAGTCTTAGAGCAATAAGGGGAAAACGTGGGTAGGCTGGGCTTATGGTAAGAAGCCTGCTCTAGCTAAGCCTCGGTGGATGGCTGGAAGGGATGAAGCCTGGTTCTGGGGTAGGCTGGAGGTGAGAGTGTGGTGGTGACCAAGTCCTCAGGCTTCCATCAGTGCAGTTCTGCCCCAGGCCAGCCCCAAAATGAATGGATTGATTGAGGGGTGGGGGAAGTTGTAGTTTGGGCCTGGAAGGTCAGGCCCAGGAAAGCCAGGGTAATCTAGCTATTTTTGCTGGCTACGTCCACAGGGATGGTAAGTTCATGAGCAAGATGAACCTGTTAAGGTTCTTGCCATGTGTGTCCTTGGTGGGCCAATGGCATCTGGAAGTCTTGAAGACAGCCCCAGGGGTTTCAGGAAAAAGGGTGGTTCTCTATGGGCAGGGAGAAATCCTTCCTGATCATCTGTCCTCAGGACACATACAACCCCCTCCATCCTCAACTCCTTCTCACCAAGGCCACTTCTCCAGGACCTTCACCCTTCCCTCTTTGCCACCCAGGTTAGGGCCAGCCCCTGCAGCATGCCTTCTACCAACACGGGCCTCATTCATCTGGTCCTGAACGTACTTGAGGCTGAGCAGATGGTTGGTGGGCGACACCCAGACAAGCATCTTGGAAAAGCCAGGCTGAACCCTCGGGCCAGCATGGATTACTGTCTGACTGCTGAGGGGCTGCTGAGGTGCTAAGCTGCACCTCCTTGCTGCGGCCTCTGGGGGTGCTGTGGGACCTGTGAGGCCTCTCGTGTTGCCTGTTGTTCCTACTACTGCTGCTGCTGCCGCTGCCACCGCCAAGCCCCTTCCTCCAGTGGCAGCACCCATCTTATTGTATAAATTTGTTATGTCACTGATAATAAAATCATGGTACTAAATGTTGTTCAAATCAATAAATTATGTAAGATCAATGAAGCAAGCCAACACTGCATTCGGTCTGGGCACAGGTGGGGACAGAAATCTCCAAATAGCTGAGCTGGGAACAGCTACCGGGGGACCGTCCTGGCACAGGAACCATAAAAATGTCACATCTGCCTATGACAGCCTTAGGGATCAGCTAGACAAGAGGTGTCAAACACAAGGCCAGCCTCCTTTTGAATGGGCCCAAACCAGATTAAAATGTAATCGGGAAATATTTAACAAAATTAATAACATAGCTATAGTACTTATTATGTGCCAGGCACTGTGCTAAGCACATTACAGTTCTTATCTCATTTGATCCTCACAACAATCCAGGGAGGTAAGTGTGGTTATTTTACAGATGAGGAAACTAAGGCAAACAGGTTACATGACTTGCCCAGGGTCACCAAGCAAGTAAGTGCCTGGGGCTGGAGGTCCTTTACTTTAGGGCTGGTGCTCTATCCACTGCGCCATGATAATATTTTCTAAGTCAATATGTGACCTTCACAGATCTTTATGTACCCTTTAACGGCCCCTGCTCCTATCTGAGTTTGATACCACTGATTTAGAGCAACCCTCACATTATGTGGGGACCTGGAAAACCACCAGTCTGTTAGAGGCAGAGCATGTACTAGACCCCAGGTCTCACATCTTCCTGTCCAGTCTTCCTCCTACCGATCATCACGGGCCTCTCTTTTTCAGTGGTTCTTTTTCTCCTCCCTGCCCCACCAGTCTATGTTCAGCTTTTCCTCCCTAGATTTATGTAATTGGCTGAGTGTGGTGACATGCTGTTTGCAGGCTTGAGTTTTCTTTCCTATTCTGTGAGCTATTTTGAGCACCGGTGCTAGGAAACTTAATTCACTTTCCCTCGGATGGGGCGAGGGGTGGGGGAGGAGGAGGAAGGTGGAGAGTTTAGATGCTTGCTTTGAAAGCTCTCCAGCTCTCCTCTGCTTCCTAACAGATGGCTGCAAACTGTGGTGTGTTAAATTTATCGAGATAACTTCAGTATCCGTGTGGAGGAGGAAAATCTCTCGGGATTTTTTTTTTTTTAGAAAAGACAAAGACCCCTTTCAAAGGTTAAGCTAATGTCAGTCAATCATAGAATTAGAGATTTAGACCAGAAAGGACCCTCAGAAGCCTTCTAGTCTAACCCCCTTCATTTTGTTTTTGTTTTTTGCTAGGCAATGGGGTTAAGTGACTTGCCCAGGGTCACACAGCTAGTTAAGTGTCAAGTGTCTGAGGCAGGATTTGCACTCAGGTCCTCCTGACTCCAGGGCCAGTGCTCTATCCACTGTGCCACCTAGCTGCCCCTCCCATTCATTTTATAGATGAAGAAACTGAGGCACAGTGGTTTAAGTGACTTGCCAGGGGTTGCATAACAAGTAAGTGTTTAAGGCTGGATTTGAACTCCTAACTTCCTGACTTCAGCTCCAGGACCTTATCCTCTACACCAAGATACATCTTAATCCACAAGTATTTATTAAACACCTACTGGGTGCCAGTACACAAAGAAGTAAAGCAATCTGCCCTCAGGGAGTTTAAATTCTAACAGAAACAATGCATACACATATAAGTATATGAAATGCATTTTTAAATGGCTATAGATTCATTTGGAAAAGCCAATTCATCCCCTGCTTCAAATTTATTGTTCCTCCCCCCTGCCCATCCTCCTGCAATTATTATTAGGGCTGCGCAATTAATAGACCAGTGCTACAGAAACAGATGTGGTGGGTAGGGAGAAGTCCTGGAGATATGGTGGCTATGCAGTCCTTCTGACCCATTTCCAATGGGGTTCTTCCAAGATTTCCAGATCCAATGACTACTCAATCTTGTCCACATTAAAGCTGCTCATAATGAATACCATTGTATTTTGCTTTTAGAGCAGCTAGATGGCATAGTGGATAGAGCATTGGGCCTAGAATCAAGAAGACCTGAGTTCAAATCCAACCTCAGACATTTCCTAGCTGTGTGATCCCAGGCAAGTCACTCAACCCTGTTTGCCTCAGTTTCTTCATCTGTAAAATGAACTGGAGAAGGAAATCTTTGTACTTTGTACTTTGGAAATCTAGTATCTTTGCCAAGAAATCACGAAGAATTGAATGTGACTGAACAACAATATTTTGCTTTAAACTTTAACACTTTTAGACCTTGGTAATAACGTACATTTACATTAGCAGTCTAAAGACTGAGCATCACTATATGCAGTATCTTATTTGAGCAACAATTCTGTTGTTACACTATGGGTATTATTGTAACCATTTTTTAGAGATGAGGGGACAGAGGCTCCAGAGAATTGAAGTGACTTGCCCAAGGTCACACAGCTGGTAAGTGTCAGAGGAAGGATGTAAGCCTTGGTCTTCCTGACTCTAAGCCCACTGCCCTATCCAGAGGTGTCAAACTTGAGGCCCAAGAGCCTACAAAACTCCAGAGTGCATCCCGAATCAGATTAAACTGTAATTGTGAAATGTTTAACAAAATTAATAAAAATGCAATACAACATAGATAATGTTAATTTGTAGTTTTCTTTTCGAAGTCACTATGTTGGCCTCTATTTGAGTTTGACACTACTGGATTAAACTGCATTTCCCCATTCTATCCTCACACAGTAGATGAGAAAATTGAGGCTCAGAAAGGTTAAATAATTAACTTGGGATCACAGGGCTAGTTGACAGCAGAGCCTGTCTGTGGTTCCCTGTTCCCACAAAGCCTGGGGCTTTCCCCAAGCTACCTGTAGTCCTAATGAGAATGGGAAAGGCTACTGAAAAGTCAGATTTGCATATCAGATCATGAAGGGGTAAGGGGGCAATGTACACAAAGTGTACTACTACAAAATACTACAAAATAATTCTCAACCTTAGAAAATGGTTGAATTGGTAGGGTCCTTTCTCTAGCAAACCTCCCCCCTGCATTTAAAATTTACATGATTTGCAAACAAATATTTTTTAGGAACAAACTTGATGTGTGTAGTGATAATATTTACAATTGATAGTAGCTCTGCAGAACTATAAACTTTTCAAAATTCTGTAACACTGTTTGTCCCATTTGGTCTTATTCATTCTCATGAAGTGATTATTTTGGTCGTCATTTTATTTTCTCTTGACCTCAGTTTCTTCATCTGTACGATGAAGGGGTTGGCATTCAGGGGTTCTTAACTTGGAGTCTGAATTTAAAAAATATATATTTTGATAACTGCCTTTCAATATCATTTGTGTTTTTTTGTAATCCTTTTTTATTTTATTTATTTAAAAACCTTATTAAAACTATTCTGAAAAGGGGGTAGCTAGGTGATGCAGTAGATAGAGCATTAGACTGGGAATCAGGAAAACTCGTCTTCCTGAGTTCAAATCCAGCCTGAGACACTTACTAGCTGTGCAACCCTGGGCAAGTCACTTAACCCTGTTTGCCTCAGTTCCTCATCTATAAAATTAGCCCGAGAAGTAAGTGGCAAACCACTCCAGTATCTCTGCCAAGAAAACCTCAAACTGGGTCACAAAGAGTGGAACATGACAAAAATAACTTAACAACATTCTGAGATGGTGTCCATAGGTGTCACTGGACTACCAAAAGGGGGTCCCTGACACCAAAAAAAAGGTTAACTCCTGGATTAGATGATCTCAAAGGTCCCTTCCAGCCTTGACATTAATTCCATATAGATCAGAATCCAAAAATACTTGAATGTGTTTTTAAAGTAGTATTCCCATTTTACAGATGAGCATGTTGAGACAGTTCAGTTGACTTACCCAGGGTTACTCATCTACAGTGACACAGGTAATTTGTTGGAGCTGGAACCAGAGTCCCCTGGTTCCTGGTTCAATTCTCTGTGGGCTTCATTAGACACATGAGCCTATCAGTGGAGAGAGAGAT